ACACACACACGCACGCAAGTTCAGTAATGGTAGCTGGGCACCATCCAGTTCTGGTCTCATGGCAAAGGAAGCAGTTGTTCATGGAGGCAATTAGCCACATATTCCATTACCTCCCTTAAGTATTTTTGATTAAAGCTAAATATAATCTATCTTCTCCCAACTCTCTTTGTTCAGGGAAATAATTCATACAATTTAGGACGTTTTTCAACACTGAGAATTTGGAAACAGGGCTTTTGATTCGATTTCAGGTGAAACAGTCATTTGAGCCACAACATACCAAGCATGTGAGTTATGGGAGGTTCTACTCTGTGATCAAGTAATTCAGCCACAACTGTGGTGGTGAAAAAGCCAGAAAGCCAGAAGCCAGGACCACATATTTACCCGGTAAAGCTGCAGAGAAGACTTGAGGCCTGTAAGATTGGACTTGGGTGGAATCAAGTGGTCTGTCACGTCTGCTACGTTATACAGCCAGTGGATCAGCTCTTCCAGCTGACAGCAAAATGTCTGCTTAGACAAACAAAAGAATGTGTGTTGTTTCCGACTGAACTGCTATTTACAATTATCAAGAGGCTAAAAACATCAGTGGGTGTCCAGGAGACTGACCCTGCACCTTTCCTGAGCTCTTCTTCCTGTCCCCCTACCCCCAGGACTCCAGACCTCTGCCAGAGCAATAGGAAAAGCCCCACCTCATTCTATGTCCCCTCAGCCTGATGAGACACCAAAAATGACACGCTGAGAAGACATTGCAGGTGACACTGGGGCAGCTCAGAGCAGGGGGACAGCCCAGAGCATGCTGCCACAGAAACCAATCCTTAGGTCAGCACCGTGCTACCCTACCAAACTACTTCTGTGGAAAACATCAACGTAAAATGACTATAATCGTGACTAACTTGAATCCACAGCCAAAGATAATGGAATTAAAAGGTGTTCTGCCCCCTTCACTGCCCAGGGAGCAGGGCCCCAGACTCCAAAGTCAGCTGCTTGCCCTGGGGAGGCTGTAAGGCAAGTACTTTATCTCACGGAAGTATCTCAATCTTTTATCACACAAAAGGTACATGGTACCATTTGTCCTATCTGCTTTACAGGACAAATAAAACAATCCACATGCGATCACAGGGAAGGTTAAAGCCCCATTGTAGTGCTAGGAAACGCTCCTACTGTGGGCCCATGGCTGGGGGGAGGGGCCTGTTGCAGTGTGGATGTGATGTCCCCACACTTACCCCCAGGAGGCGGGGGCCGCGGGACCCTTAGAGTTTACAGCCACCATGCCTGAACCTTCCTCCTGTGTCAGTTGGCGAGAAGCCCTCGATATGTCATTTAACCTGCACAACCTCCCGAAGAGGCAGACAAGCAAGCTCAACAGAATGAGCCAAAATTCCCAAGGCAGCAGCGCCAAGATTCAGACTCAGATCTAATGCTGATGCGTCATTCCGTGGAGTATTAATTTTATCTCCATATATTAACAGGCAGGCTACAAAAAGAAGGGTCTGTGACTAAGAAGTCTAGAAAATAGTGCATCTAATGCCCACCACCTTGGTGAGTCACATCACTTTGGTATACTGAAGTCTGAGAAGTCCTACTGTCAACAAAGCCACTTACCTTTGTTTAGCCCAGTGTTTACTAAACGTATCCGAACACAGAATGCTGTATGTGCAGAATACCTCTTCACGTCCTCAAGTCAGGAGTGCTGGGAAGCAGCCTGAGGTGGTGGCTAAGCGCTCAGGCCCTCCAGACAGCCTGCCTGGGTGTGCTTCCTGGCTCTTGCCCTTGCCAACTGTGAGGCCTTGGGCAAGTTACCTAACCTTTCTAGGCCTCTTTCTCCAATGGTAAAATGAGAACAGTATTTACCTGGTAGGGCTTGTGAGGATTAAATAAAGGTATGGTGCCCAGAACATAAAAAGTGTTCAGTCAGCATTAACCAGCAGTTACGACAGCACTGACTGGAGGAAGAGGCTGGATACCTCCCTGCAAAGCCCCCTAACCTTAGTGTCTTTACCTTCACACACTGCACAAGCGATTTTCTCTGCTCTCCTTCTCTCCTGGGAGGCTGCCCGTCAGCACCCGGGTCTGCGAACGCCCGCTGGTCCAGCATGGTCTGGCAGGAGAGGCGCGCTCTCAGTGGTCCAGAGGGCACCCCCAGGGCCTGGCTGCTCGCCAGACTGCCTTCCCCTGCAGAGTCTCGGGCTCGGATCAAGGAGTGCAGGAAGCAGTGGTTCTGGCTCCCAGAGCCCCGGGACTCTGGAAGCACAGTCACAGAGGGAAGCTGGCTTGGGCTAGAGTCTGATGGGAGGGAAGCTAGCCCATCACTGTCCGAGACTTCCAGGGAGCTCTGTCCTTTGGCGGTCCCGTTGGGCACGGGCATCAAGGTGGGAACGGAACCTAGATATGAAACCAAACTAGAAACCTGTGTCAGCCGAGCAGGCAGGGCAAGATACTCATCTTCGCTCTCCACCTCCTCTTCTGCTTCCCATCCAGACGCCATGTAGGTGGGGCGTGGGACACTCTGGCCGGCCCCCTTCTCCCTCTCTGGCTTGGACGAGGGCCACCCTCCGCCCTGTGTCCTCAGCGTGGGAGAGCTCCCCTCGAGGTGCGTGCCCGTGGGGAGCCAGACCTTTGGGCCCCTCAGGGCTGGCTCTCTGCTCTGCCAAGGAGCAGCCCTACTCCCTGAGGCTCTGGGGGTAGATGTGAGCTGGCTACAAGATGGCAAGCCCACGCTGCCCTGCTTCTGGGGCACTCCAGGGGGCCAGCGCTGAAGGCCTGGCTCTGTGGCCCCAGAGAACAGCACGGCAGTGGCCTCTGCTGGTGGGCAACTGCGGGCAACATTAGTGGGTGACTTCAGGGTACTTGCTGGGGAGACGGAGAAGCTATCCAGGTCTACACCAGAGTCCTGCAGCACAGACTCAGTCAGCATGTGGCTGTCAAGGTGCTTTGGGAGTGGAGGACCAGGCCTCAGGGGATAAGTATAGTCAAGCAGGTCTTCGTACTCTTTATTTGGGTTCCAGAGAGGGGAGCGGCGGTCAGGGGAAGGAGGCAGGGAATCCGGCAGCACGCAGGCCCAGTACTCGGCCTGGAAGGAGAGGCGTCTCCTGCCCGGCCCAGCAGCTCCACCTTCAGAGGACACAGGCTGAGGTGACCAGCGGACCTGAGGCCCTGGCCCCACCACAGCCGGGGGCAACTGGGGGACGACCAGGTCCAGAGAGGAGGAGACCCTGGCTGGGGAGCAACTCTGAGGCTCCACATTGTCTTGGCAACTCTGGACACTGCTGACCGGGGATGAGGCAGAGATGCTGTGGCTGGAAAGCTGAGGAAGAGCAGGGGTACCTGGGCTCACCCTGGACATCCACCTTGACGAGAAAGGGAAACCTGAGACATGAGGCTGTTGGCTGCTGTCCAGCACCTGGGGTGACTCCACTGGGGACGGGTCATCTTCAGTGTCAGCATCGTGTCCTGAGCAAAGGGCTGTAGTTCTGGGAACGGTAAGGGTTTGAGGTAGCTCCTCTGAGGCAGAAAGCTTGGTCTCCTCCAACTGCAGTTAAGAGGGAAGAAAAAGCACTCAGGTGAAAATAATCGGGCTACATTTCATTCTTAGATGGCAAGCTGGAGTTTTCTCTGGAGGCCCAGAAAACATTCAGGAAAAGTGTCAAAGGGAAGAGTATGCTGTCCGAGGCAAGCAGCAGACACAGAGTGTGTGCTGCTAGTGGCCAGCCAGGAGACATGGCCTGCTCTGGGGGGCAGGACTGTTGTCCCCAAACTGACTTCCCACCCTCTGGTGCTTTCAAAAGTTGTTCCTCTGCAAATATCCAGTTCGTGAGTGAGAACTCGCATAGGCCTGCCATGCTGAAGCTGGAATATACGACCTAAACTTTGAGGAGTATGTCCTGGACAGACAAAACCCTCCATCCTTTTGTCACCGAAAGGAGCCACATTAGAGCCCAGCAGGCAGGTGTCCCACCATGCCACACCCCCTCAGTTCACACACTGAATACTGGCAGAATGAGTCATTCACCTCAGCTTCCTCACTTTGAATTTTTAATCTGCCCAATGGGGAACTCATCCCCAAGGGAGGCAGGATAGCAGAGTGGTTAAGGGCCTGGGCTTTGAAACCAGACAGGCCTGACATCAAACTCGTTCTCTGCCACTTTCCAGATGTGTGACTTTGAGCCTGACTTCCGTCACCTGTAAATGAGGATAACAACAGAATCACCTCATCAGGACATGAGGATTACATGCACTCGTGTGTGAAAAGCACGCAGTGAGCTCAACAAACTAGACTCATACTCGTGAGACAGCCCACTTGTGTGTTTGTTTACTTGCTTCCTGCCTCACCCCATCTCTGCCTCACAGGTGCCCGGAGCCTCCCACTGCCCTTGCTGCCCAGCAGGTGAGGCCCAGCCTCTCTTCTCTCCCAGACAGTGGTGCTCAAAGCCTCCTCACAGGAGGGAGCTCTGTGGGGGGAGCTTGCAGCAGCCAAGGCCACAGCGGCACAGAGAAGATCAAAGCCATTCCCAGTAAAGGCCTGGGCAAGCAGAACATAACAAGAGGTCAAGAGTGGGAGGGACGGATCATTCGGGTCACCTTCCCAATTACACTGAGGGCTCGAAAGACTCAGTGACTTGCCCGAGGCCACAGAGCCTGGTAGAACCCACTGCCCCAGCTGACTCCCACTAAAAAAAGTTGTCTTACAGTCAGGGAGGACCAAGAAATTCTCCTTGTCGAGGGGCAGTGCCGCCTACCACAGAGGCTTCCGAGGCTCTAATGGGCCCACAGCCCTGACACCCACCTCCCCCAGTCTCCAGGCCTAGCTCACCAGGTCAGAGCTCCCGGCCATCCCTCTGGGCAGCAGGCTCTTGGCCATGGCATCCCCAGTCCTCAGAAGGTCACCCAGCAGTCACTCCTGAGGAACAGGAGATGCCATGGACAAAGCCCCCTACTGGCCCAAGGCCCAGCTCTCCAGCTGAACCTGTAAAACAGAAATCAGGATACCCAGGCTCCCCCCTGCCACCCACTTTGCACAGTGGCTGGAAAAGCATGTGAAGATGGTGACAAAGGGCGGAGCATACTCCAGGGGATGGCTCTGGGTAAATCTACAGTCCCGTCTGCCTTAGCACCTACCTGGCTTCCCACAGACTGCAAGATGTCTCCAGTGCTCGTGCTGGCAGGAGGACACAGGCAGCCAAGAGCAGGCTTAGACCCACCAGCTACCGACTCTCTGCTCGTGCTGCTAGCCTGAGGCTGGAGGGCTCCAGAGGGGCAGCCAGGGGCAGCCCCCACTGAGCAGGCCAGGGCCGGCAGCCCCTCTGCCCCCCACATAGGGGAGGCGGGCCCTCCCTCAGCTTCCAGGCCTGCCGGCTGCTCCCCGCTTGCCGGCCCCAGGGTGGCCACGTCCTGCTCCCTGCAGCTCCACCTCCCATAGAGCTGGGCCTTTGTGTCCGAGGGTGCTTCCACCTCTGCCTTTTCCTCACCCAGGGCCATTAAGTCCTCCCCAGGTCAGGGCTGCTGAAGCCTTCAGCTTCCTACAAAACAGAAGAAAGGGAGAGAAGAACAGACATTTTCTGCGTCTGCATCCAGGAAACCTTACTCTTTAACGATTAAAGAAAACGCTCTTTGTTCATGGAAGGAAGGAAGGAAACAGTGGCTACCTTTTCAGAGGAAGGTTGACATCCTGCTTCTCCTTGGCCTCAGACCCTTCAGAGATGACAGAGAAGCACATTATTGTGTTCTCTGCTTTCGGAGTGACAGTACCGTCCCCAGCAACAGGCACCCAGGAGGGTCAATGCACGTCCAAGTCAGAGGCAAGGTGTGGGTCCTGCCTAAAGTCGTCTTTTGCCCTTGTCCCTCCGGCCCAGCCCCACTGCTTAAGAGGCCCCGGCCTGGGCCTCTGGTGCCCAGCCCCGCCATGGGTCTACTGTAGCAACGTCCCTGTTGGCAGAAGGCTCGGGCCTGGCTCTGACTGCTCTGCTCTAAAAACTCTAGAGAACAGCAAGTTGGGGCACGCCCAGGCCTTGGCTGAGCCCCGCAAGGATGCTCCTCACGATTTTTGGCTGTGCCTGCCGGGAGAGGCAGGATGCTCTCCAAGCGAAGAAACCACACCCCAGGCTGTGGAGCAGCTGGAGCTTCTCCTTCTGAGGATGGCCAGTGACCAGAGAGAGAGATCAGCAACTCTCCTCACACCAGCTTGGGTTATGCTTAACTTGGGCATGGAGGGAAGCCATGGAAATCCAGGTGGGTAAAGTGGTCATGTTCACGGAGCATGCATGCATGTGAGAGGGAGGGAGAGAAGGAGCCAGGCAGCCGCAGGCAGGCAAGGGAGCTCAGGGCGGGGACTCAGGGAGAGAAGGAGAAAAAAGATCTCCCAAAATATGGCTGTACCAATATGAAGAGCTTCAGAGACAGCAAAGAAGGCCCACACATGGCTAACTGTCACAGTGAGCGCTGCTGGCTGGGAGCACTGGGGGGGATATGGCCGGGGTGCCAAAAAGCTAACAGGAGTTTTGGAGGAGAGGGCAGAGGAACTGTAAGCCCTCACTCAGGATGTCCACAGCCACCTGGCGTGTACTCTGGCCAACCTCAAAGCTAAAACGTGGACATAAACAGCTTTGTTGCCTCAGAGATGTAAAGAGGAGGTGCTGGTGGCAGCAGGGGAGCCTCAGGAGGCAGTGGGTGCAGGCTCTTTCTGCTCACCTCGCACACTGGGAACCACAGCCTGGGTGGGCACACAGGAGTGTGCTACCCCGCCCTGCCTGACGGGACACACGAGGCCCAGACTCATTCAGAGGGGACCTAGAAGAGCCACGCACTTCACATGGACTCCTGCTTCCTTCTCATACCACCTTATACAGCAGGAACTAGTTAGAAAAAAAATACTTTTTTTTGGAACATGTACTGTAGTAATATGGTTCAAATAACGCAGTACAGATAGAAGTCTTCCTTTGTCCTTGTCCCCCTACCTCCACTAAAATGAGTCCAGGCACGTGGGACACCTGTGACAGTGCCGGGTGCGTGGTGTGTCTGTGTGTATGAGACAGAATTAACAGGTCATGTGACAAAAAAGGTGCAGAGGAGTGGAATGAAAGGAGAAAAAGCAGCCAAATTTTCATAAAAATTAAGCAAAATATTTGCTACTAGACACTCCCACAAGAACAGGTACGTTGTCTAATTCGTTTCGTGTCTGCCTCCTGTCTCCTGACACACATGTAGACAAACAGAAATAGTTTCATCCCTCCCCACTCTTTTAATAAAGGGAGAAAGCTGTACGAGAACTTTGCCTTTGCCTTTTTTTTCCCTAACAAAATATCTTGGAGATCTTTCCTTAGCAAGACACAGAGAGCTTCCTTTCTTTTTATCGCTGTCTAGTAGTGTATTCCACTATAAGGATGCATAGAACTTATTTCACCAGACCCTTAGTAAGGGATAGTTGGTTATTTCCCATCTTTTGCTATTACAAACAATGCTGCAAAGAATAACCTTGGAAACAACATCTGCAGGTGTGCGAGGATTACCCACAGCTAAATATGCAAAAGCAGAGGTGCTGAGGCAAACCCGTTGCTGCCAAGTTGATTCCGACTCATAGTGACCCTATAGGACAGAGTAGAACTGCCCCATAGAGTTTCCAAGGAGCAGCTGGTGGATTTGAACTATCCACCTTTTGGTTAGCAGCCTGAGCTCCGAACCACTGCCCCACCAGGACTCCTTTATCAAGTGGTATTAATTTACACCCCTCCAACAACATGCAAGAGTGCTCGCTTCCCAAGGAGGCACTCACTGTTCTCCTCGTCTTACACATGGAAAAATCAAGGCTCCAAGAGATTCATATCCGGGACTGCCTGACTCTAGAACCCAGGCTCCTTATGAACCAAACTTAAGAGCAGGAAGCACACAAAGGAGAAGAGGGAAGAGACCGACAGATGGACAGAAGCAGAGAGCAAGCCCTGCTGAGAGATTTTCATGGAGCCACAGTCTCCCCTTGTGGTCCTTTAAGAAACTGCATATGAAGATGTTGAAAGGCGAGATGTGTTTTCACACTATGGGAATAAGCTGGGTCCAGGAGCAGGATAAATGAGGGTGGAGGCAAAATCCAGAGCTCCCAATTTCTGCTTTTTGCTCCATTCCTGAAAGTTCTCAATGACCAGAGCAGGGCCGTGATGGGTGGCTGATACCCCTTTCCTCCCACTGACTAGAGGGTGTGGCCTTGAGACGGGGCTGGAGTAAGATGATGCTGCGCCAAGAGAGGGTACAAATAAATATCTGTCTGTTTTCTGTCTTTGTTTGGATGATGTATTTTTTATTTGTCTAATCTGGACCTTACTATTCAACAAAGAATGTATCCATTTATCCTGGGGCAGTGGAAGTCAGCAGGAATTATAAGCTAGTCAGGAGACCCCTCTAAGTGACTTACAAGTTTATATACAAACCTGAACAAGGGTAACGTGTCGCTAGAGCTCACAAATTGCTTCAAGGATCAGGTAAGAAGGTCTGAAATGCACCATAAATGATTTTCGTGGAAATGGTATTTCTGGAAAGACAGAAAACAGGTTATACTATTTTCTGAGTCTGGATAAGCAGACCCTTCATAATCTTATTTATCTGTCTGACAAATCATGTTTTTTCCCCTGCTCTACACAAGTTTATTATTTAGGACGAGAAGTAAGACACACACGTGTGAAAGAATTAAAAACAAGTCCATGATGATTCATCCCAAACTGTATATAAAATGATACAGAAGGCAAAGAAAGGGCGAGATCAACTGGGATAAAGATAATTAGCAAAAACATGAAGTAGATGACTGTTGAAGACAAACCATTTTTCCAAGGTCGATCACACTGAAGAAAACATGGGCCCAGCATGAGATAAGTGTGCACATTTTGAATTCCTAGGGCTTCACCCTGTCTGCATTTTGCCAAGTGGTCACCTGTAATACTCCATGAAGGCCAGGTCTTCATGTCCACAGACTAAATTTTCCACGTCACTCCTTCTAACTCCCCTGGGGGTGGGAGACTCTGCTTAGACCCTTCCAATGAGAGACAGCTTACTCCTTTCCGAAGCAGTGCCCCCCACCCGGACTGCTGAGACTGAGGAAAATGACTTGCTGGGTTGAACCAACACTGTCTCCCAGGTCATTACTTGTAAACAACCTACTACTCCACAAGGGGCCTCCCTGCTCTCAGATCATAAACTCTACACTGTTCCTGGATGCCAGTAGCTCTGTAATGGGGCAGGGGCCTCTGCAGGCCTCTTTCCCAACTGGGAAGTAGTGGGAGGCTGGGCTGAGAGACAGGAGGCACCGGAGCACAGACAAGAACAATGAAGCCAGCACTCCCTGTCTGAGACATCGGTATACCCCAGAACTGCGATGTCCAAACCAAGACACGTGCCACAGAAGCTTCAGGGTATCCTAAGGACCACCCGGACTTTCATGTTAAAATTCCCCATTAGTTCAAAGTCTATAGCCCTTCAGTATGGATTACACCTCAACATAAAGAAAACAAAAATCCTCACAACTGGACCAATAAGCAACATCATGATATACGAAGAAAAGACTGAAGTTGTCAAGGATTTCATTTTACTTGGATCCACAATCAACACCAATGGAAGCAGCAGTCAAGAAATCAAACGACATATTGAATTGGGCAAATCTACTTCAAAAGACTTCTTCAAAGTGTTAAAAAAGCAAAGATGTCATCTTAAGGACTAAGGTGTGCCTCACCAAAGCCATGGTAGTTTCAATCGCCTCATATGCACGCGAAAGCCGGACAATGAACAAGGAAGACCAAAGCAGAATTGATGCCTTTGAACTACGATGTTGGTGAAGAATGTTGAATATACCGTGACCACCAGAATAACAAACAAGTCTGTCTTGGAAGAAGTACAGCCAGCTTGCTCTTCAGAAGAGAGGATGGCAAAACTTTGTCTCATGTACTTTGGACATGCTATCAGGAGGAATCAGTCCCTGGAAAAGGATATCATGCTTGGTACAGGAGAGGGTCAGCTAAAAAGAGGAAGACCCTCAATGAGATGGATGGACACAGTGGCTGCAACAATGGGCTCAAGCATAACAATTCTTGAGCAGGCCTGGGCAGTGTTTTGTTCTGTTGTACACAGGGTCACTGAGTCGGAACTGACTTGACGGCACCTAACAACAACGTTAGTTCCCAGGACCTGCGGAAGCCGTATGGTCTACCAGACATAATTAGGAGTGATGCAGGCTTGGCTTACTCTTGCCCTACAGTAAAAATACGCTCACACATCATGTACATGGTAACCCTAACTCTGTCCCATCTGACCTTTCCTGGAATCTGCTGCACCACCCTTTGGCAGTCCTGTCACAGCTGCCAGGGCTGCTCCCACTCATTCCTGTCAAGATGGAGAAGGGAGGACTGGGCAAGCGGGGGGAGGGGGCTGAATTCCTCTCTAACTAAAATCATGCAAATGAGCACCTAGGAAGCAATTCTCCCTTGAAAAAACAAAACAACAAACAAATGACTTTTCCCAGCATTCTATCAGGAGTTCCCTTTGAAACAATCTGATTTACCCCAACCTTTTCCAGGAAGCTCTGTTCTGGAAGGGCCTGTCTCTGTACCCAAGCACATATCACCACAGGCCGGGTGTTGCCTGACAGAGCGAGCCCTGCCAGTTCAGGGGCCAAAGCCTTGTTATTTTCACAGAAGGCCACAGGTACAAGCGATGACACCATGAACACACAGAGGCAAAACCTGGCCAGTGAACCAGACAAAGAGGCTCTTAGTGTTGCTCTTTCTCTAAGAACATGAAACTGCCCACGAGGAAAGGGGTGCGGGGCGGTAAAACTCCGCATTGTCAGGTTGCTGGAAGGCACTGGGGAACGAGTTTATGGGAGAAGGGAGCTTAAACGCAGAGGTCAATCCAGCATGGGAGGCAGCACGAAAAGGGGCAGAGACATATGTGGGGGAAGCCAACAAAGGGGGCAGTCACAAGAGGCCCGGCCTGCCTCAGGGCCGGGAGGGTGCCAGGAAAGCTGTGGCTGAGGCTGGAGACAGGAGGCCAACAGCAAAGAGTAACCGCTGCTCCACCTGCTCCCTCCCTGGCTATGGAGGCCCCAGACCTCCCGGTCTTTCCATGAGGGGCAGGACACCCTGAAAGCTCTGTCCCTCTTTTGCAGGTGAAATCAGAGTAAAGGGAAAATGAAGAACAGGCTCAAAGTTACCACAAGAAGAGGGTAGACCATGTCCCCCAAGGCTTGGGCTGATGTATTCCCAGGATCCTTGGGCACAAGCAGTACCCCCTGGGCTATTTCCCTAAGTCTTGCTTCAGGCCCCTCTGGATCAATGTGGTGGGAGGGTGGGGGCCGACCTGCTTGGCTGCCTGTCCCCTTGCTCTCTCATTCACTCACTGTGGGCTGACTGGAGACCACCAGACAGCCTCACAGCAAGGCCAGTCTTCCAACTTGTGAAAGGTCTTCAGATGGCCTTTAAAGAGATGAAACTGCCACATCTTCATGAAGCGTGGCTGAGCTCCCAGGGCTCCTGCTCCCACGCCTCTCCACCTGCCCTGCCCCAAGTTTGCTGGCTTCTCAGCCGCCAGGAGACCATCCTGGTCCAACAAAGCTCAAAGTACGAGGATGCAGAGGACTGAGCATGTCAATTGACTGCACCCTCTATTCTCACCAGAGAGCAGAGAAAAACAGCCTCCCCGTAACAAACAAAAATAGCTCCTCCTGTCAGATGAAGCTGCACCGGACCACGTGGTTGCTGTTCCAAAGGCAATAGCTTTCATTGTACGGACAGTTCTCCGTGAGGCCATCAGGCTATACGTATGAAGATTTATAAGAATCTTATCAATTTTCTCAAGAGATATTTACTATCCCACAGTGTCCTCTTTGGAGAACCCACAGGAAAAGAATTCTCTGGTCTCAATAATAGAAAACAGCTGCTTCTACTGAGTATCTAGTTTGTTTTTACTTTACAGGTACTCGCAAAACTCATCAAATTTTCCTCCTTGCTTTCATTACTAGGAATCTCAGGGCCAAATCTATAGTCTCATGCAGTAAAATGGAGAAGACAGAGAGGCACTCATCTTTTGTATTAATCTTACCCTTTACTTCTTCTTACTTTCTTTCACCCTATCTGCCTCAATTACTCTTCCTTAAATTCTTATTACACTGACAGGATCTTGGAAAGATTCCTCAAACCATTTTTTGAACAAGATAGAGGAACTGTTAAAGAATAGAATAAATATAAGTAGAAAAATAGCTCCTAAATCCAAGTTTTCATCCCAATACCATAAGAAAGTAAGACTTGTTTTACCAGTACAACTAAGAGACAAATGAACATAGATATCTTGTTACTCAAAGTGTGGTCCATGGACCAGCAGCATCTGCTCACCTCAGAGCCTGTGGGATTACAGACTCTCAGGCCCCATTCTAGAACCTCTGAATCAGCACCTGCATTTTAACAAGATCCCCAGGTGACTGTTAGGCACAGTGATGTTTGAGAAGCACCAGGGTAGGAGATAAGCCTGTTTCAGCACCCTGAAAAGAGTAGCTATAACGCTGCCTTTGAGAACATTCATTGCCTGCCAGGCACACAGAAGAAAGAAATTTCTGGTCCTTGTCCTCCAAGGCCTTTGCAACAGGACACTACAAAAAGCACACACCTCAGGGTTATAAGGCTTGTGGCAGGCTTTTATCTGCCAATTAATAGATTGTAGAATGTCATAGCTGGAAGGGAGTTTACAGAAAGAGAGTATTCTCTAGAAAAGAGTCAAGGATTCTCTGTGGCTGCAATAAAAGCAGAGCCAGAGGTGAGACTTTTGCCTGTGACAGTTACAAATAAGGAGGGAAAGGTGTCTGGGAGACACCAAATAATTTAAGAGAAATTGAAATGCCATGGGAGCCTACAGCGGGAAGGAAACGTTAACCCAGCTGTCTGTTTCCTCTGGCCAGGAAGTAGTACGAATTAACATGAAGCTCACCAGGAAACCCTGGAAGTGAGGCAACATCCCCCACAGGTTGCGTGGCCACTTCCAAATCTGGCATCTGATCTAAACTGGATGGAAAGACTTCTTCCACTTTTCAGAGTTTTGTGAGCCAACTGTAAAGATAAGAGATAGCTTCTTCACGAGAGCAGAATGAAGTTACAAGGAGACAAGCTACCCAAAGCCCACCTCCACAAGCCCTGCCTCTCTCTGGTTGAACCAACCATCCTAAGGACTTTTTGTCAGCCACATCAGGCCCCGTAAGTTTCACTCCTCTGTGCTTACAAAACCATTTCGAGTAATAAACCACATTAAGACTGTATTGAACACTACTGTAATACTTGGCCAAATCGTTATTTGGCACTGAATCTCCAGAGAATGTGAGACACCATGCGTAAACAGGCATCTTCTGTGAGATACCTTTACTGTGGAGGAGTATCAGGAAAGGCTTAACGGATTGTTTTTTCTTTAAATCAAGGAACAGGTAAGGACCAAAAGGCAGAGCAACCTTGAAGCATCAAATACAATACAGATATTTAGTATTAAAGACTGAATCTGCTCAAGTATTTGTTTATTTTTATCCTAACAACTGTTGACAGCTACTGAACATTTTCTTTGGACCAGGAACTATGCTATGCGCTTTATATCAGTATTTTATTTAATTCTCAGAACAAACCCATGAAGGAGGTCCGATTACTACTCCCAGCTTACAGGAGGAAACTAAAGCACAGAGAAGCTAAACAACTTGTTCAGAGTTAGTAACCTGGCAGAGCTAAAATCTAATTTGTCTTAGAGAGCCTGAGCTCAACTGCCTTGGAAACCTGTAAAACTAACTGGCCCAACAAATGAAAAGAATTAAAAGTTTTTGTTTTGTCAACTTTTGGCTGTACTGCTCATTTTTTTGTTTTCTTTTTACTTCCTTCAATTACTGAGCGCCTTCTATGTTCCAAGCATTGTATTAGGAGCTGGGGAAACCAAAATACAGTGTGATATGCACAGGGGTGGGAGGTGGGGGGGCGGTTAAAACACTTTCCAAAAGAGGTAGGACAGTTCTTTGCCTCTTCTCAGTGCTGAGTGGCCCAGAATTGATCCAGTTGGTGGGAAAGGTATGGAGGGGACAAGCATGAGAAGTAGTACCTCTACTTCTTTTAACCAAGCCCTGGGCAAACCGATCCAACACACTTTGTCCTGCATTCTCAACAGCAAACATCCTTCATACCCTAGATCTGGGGAACTGTTAAGGCTATTTTTGAACGCGACCCCCCTTCGCGGCTCCCCTCCCCCACGAATTCCCAGTGAGGTCCAATCGGCCCTGGCACTGGAAGGTTTCCGCTCATTTTTATTCCAAACAATACACCGAACCCAACCTAATAATTATAAAAGCCCTGGAATGGGTTCTGGACACGCGCCTATGGGCTGCTGAGAATTTTTTTGGTTGTGACAGTTGGAAAGTGCAACCTTTTTGGCAAAAAAATGAGACGTCTTGCTTTTTTCCCTCCGCATCTGGGGGACTGCTACCTTCAAGGTGATAAGAAGGCATCATTTATCTGTATCTTTCCAGGGGCAACAACCCTAAGCTGGGAAAGAGGGTCTTTGCGTTGGCATTGATCGGGGAGTAGTGCGCCGATCTTATTCTCGGGGACACCTGGGACCCGGCGAGGGCGCACAGTAAACAGGGTACGCCTGGGGAGAGGCCGTAGGGGAAACTGATTCCCCCCGCGGCCCGGGTCGACAAGCCGCGCAGCTGCTAAGACGCGCGGATGTGTGGACCCCGCGCTCCCTGGCGGGGCCCTCCCCGGGCACCGGCATTTTCAAGCCTGGCCTCCTGCCCTCGGGCCCCGACTCCTTGGCCGTGACCTGCACACGCCTTCCACTGCAAAATGGAGGCGTAGGCACGAGGCGCCCCCGCCCCAGGAAGCGGTGGGGACGCGAGGTCCGGCGGCCCGCACCGCCAGGGCCTCGCAGAACAGAGGGGGCTGGCCGCGCGGGCAGGCGAGCGCTGCACAGGGCCTCCGCCCCCAGCGCCGCGTACTCCCCCGACACCCGCGTCCCCGCGACGGCCACTACCTACCGCGTCTCGGACGCTTCAGACACAGCGACCGGCCCCGGCAGCGGAGCCCGCGGCCCATCAACCCCATGCGGAGGCCCCAAGGAGGGGTCCCAAGCGGCGACTGCCGTACTCCCGCCCGGGCCTGGAACGCGTCGCGCGAGCGGGACCTAGCGCTGGCCACGCCCCTCGAGCCCGCCCCTCTCGGTCCCCCGGTCGCACGGAGGGCGCTTTTGGGGCACCGCAGCCAATCCCGGCCCTCGATTCAGTGCCTCGACCAATACGCGACCCGCTGCTCCAAGAAGAGCCCACCCTTTGCGTAGTCCTGGCCTATAGGAGGCCGGATCTTCTTTTCTATGCCCCTGACTCAGGTTCGCCTCTTAGGGGCGAGCGGAGTCCTCCGAGGGCGCGTCGCCCTGAGGCGGGCGGGTAGGGGAGCGCAAGCGATGGGTGCCTAGGGGCTCTCTCTCCTCGCGTGTAGGCCGCAGCCTGAGTCATTTATCCATTCATTCATTTTGCGCAGGGCCTACGGCTGAGTTCCAGGCGCGCTGCTGCGGAGGAGGCGGTCCCAGACTTACTGTGCGTCTGTTTATATTCGCGTCCAAACAACCGGGCGGCGTGTGACCGAGCCCCGAACAGGTGCTACTGGGCAGAAGCGTCAGAGGGCGAGGTCCCCAAGGCGGGTGGCAGAGGACGGGTTCGTGAAGGAGGTGGGACTTACGGAGGCTCGGGAAGGATGGGCGGGGTGTGGAGAAATGAAGCGGGAGCTGCCGAGCGGCACTCTGAGCAGCCTGATTCGGTGGGAAACTGGTGATGGAGTCGGAGGGGAAGTTGGAGCCAGCCTGTGGGAGGACATGATGCGCCTCCTCCTCCCCCAGCAGAGAGGCCTGGAACCCTAATGACACAGCTCTTTAGCTTTTACTGCTCAGCGGAATCCTGGGGCACAGAAACTACCACCAGGCTGGGCTGGGAAGGGGTCACGTTGTAATCCTTGTCAGACCCGTTCCTCCCTTCTGCTGATTTACCCTCAGCTACCCTGTCAGCGATCTGGCTTCCACTGAATACTCCACCAGTTTCACAAACACTTCTGTAAAAGCCTGAAAGCCAGCTGTGGGCAGGGAGCTGGGCCCCAGACAGTTTCCTAGGTGAAGATTTGTTGCGTTTTCTTGAACCTGCCATGACAGGTGTTCTGCAACCCAGGGGCCACAAACGTTTGTGAGCAAGAGCAGACACTGGCTCACAGATGGTTTTGTTTGGGCAGCAGAGATTTCATTATTGTTGATTAGGCAGCACAGAGGTTTTATTGTTGTTGCTTTTATGTTTTAGTAAGAATTTAAGTGTCACAACACCGTCTCTCCTTGTTAAGTAACAGCCAGCCACTTCTTCACACATTTGTTGCCTGCCTGACATCTGAAGGCGTTTGTGTTTGTGAACCTTGATCTTCTCTAAATACACAGAAGACCTCTGGGGAGTTACCTCATCCCACAGGCTGAGATTTGGGACTTTCCCCGCTATCACACCCTGCTGGACAGAGAAAGGGGCCAAGTCCAAACAGGCAACAGGTCAGGCCGAGAACCAAGGTGCCAGATCCAAGGGAAGGGAACTTGAGAGAAAAATCAAGGCCAAGTGAATAAGGACTCAAAAAAAAGCCAAGGAAGTCATAAGCAGACTGTGAGCAGATAGGAAATAATTATGAAATGAGCAAAAGACCAGCACATTACACCAGCTGTTGGTCAAGTCCCAGGTCAGATCCTACCACCTTCATCAAGCTCTCCCTCAGCTCCCAGATCAGATGTGTTCTCTTGCCCCTTTGAGCCCTGCAACACTCTGTGTGTGCCTCCCCCGTGGCCTTTCTTATTTTCTACCCTGTATGGTTTCTCCATCTATAAAAGAGGGGATGGAATGGGTGTGCCTTAAGGTTCTTTTCTGCTCTGACATTCTGTATTTTTCAGTTGTGTACATTTTTTGTTTTTGCCTGACAATCTTTTCTTGGAGGAATTGCCTGCAGCGTCCTGGGTTAGTTGGTTCTTAAGGGGTACCATACTGCCCCCCTCCCAGGCTTGGATAACTATAGATTCCCTCCTTTTGGTCTCAGTGGTTCCCCAGGAATGGGCACATGACCCAACCTGAGATGGTCTGATCCCTTGCCTGGGATTTTAGAAAATGAGCTAGATGAGACAGGCTCTTTCTTTCCTCTCGTATCTTTAACCTTTGGTGAAGTGAGCCTGAAGCTATGTACGGTTATACTCCCTGCACCATAAAAGCTGAGAACCAGGCCTGAAAATGGTAGAAACCCAGAGAGATCAGGCAGCAAGTTACTCAGGCAAAACCAGGCTGTACCAACACTCTGAGTAGGATGCATGTCTACACTTTTGGTGCTCCCATGAATTATTTCTCAGCCCTTCTCTGATATTACGTCTCATTCAAAGTTTTGGGCTAGACCATTGACTTGGCAGAGTCCCTGGGGACCTCAAGCGTTTAAGCACTTGGCTGCTAATCAAAAAGTTGAGGGTTCGAGTCTACCTAGAGGTGCCTTGAAAGAAAGACCTGGCAGTCTATTTGTGAAAAATCAGCCATTGAAAACTATGGAGCACAGTTCTTCTCTGACACACAGGAGGTCTCCATGAATCTGAATCGATGCTATGCCAACTGGTTATTTACTTGGCCAAGTTTATATGATGTGCCTGTGTTCTAGCTTCTAATGGGCAAGGAGAGCCTTTGGCTTCTGCTATGATTTCTGCTGGCCCATCTAGCTTCTACATGGGAGGAGAGCACAGCCTTCCACCAAGAGTCATAGAGTGAGAGGCTTTCGCCAAATAAGAAGGATGTTCAGATCCTGGGTAGCCAAAAGTAACTCCACAATTTCCCTTCACTACTACCCATTCTAGGTTCCCCCTGACTTCAAACAACCCCTCAGCTGGCCAGAATTCTTTACCTGGTGGGGTGAACCAAAGCTTCATTCTTAAAGTCTGCCTTGGGGAGCCTGCCTATATATAGTATAGTACATGTCCATTACCTTATATCCCTGGCCGTGGGAGTGAGCAGGTGCCCTAGGGGACCTCATACTCCTCCTGCCTCTGTGTAATAGCAGTGCCGCTTCCCCTTGATAGTCAGAATCAGTCAGCAGCCGACACTAGGACCTCAGGTAACATGAGGAACCACTGTTGTAGGCTCTGGTGGAAGCATCCCACTAAAACATCTAAGCCACCTGATTTGAGGACAAGGAAAGCATACATTTTGGTGGAGAATCATTAGGTATAATTTGAGGGGTGCCGCACCCACCTTCACCAACTGGCTGAATGATATCTCTACGCTGCTGTGGAAGAAACAGCAGTGTGTGGTCACTAGTTCACAGCACACACTCATCCAGGAGGCCAACGCTACACTCAGAGAATTGTCTCCCAGCTGGCACTTGAATGTATCTTTTAAAAAATTAACTATTTTTATTTTATTAAAGTTTAATGCATGTACTTTTTTAAAATTTTAAATCATGAAGCATTAAAATACAATTCTTCTGCTCTTCCAACCCCTTTAGTCCCCATTCTCAGAGGCATTCACTTTTAAACCTTTCAGTTTTCTCTTCTGCTATTTATTACCATATTTTAAAATAATGTCCTGTTAATTATTGATTTATCAGTTTGGGACCTGATCTACTGTCTCTTTTATTATGTTAGGTGCGGATTTAACCCTATTATAGCCCCTTTCCTATTTTCCTTCATTGTAAAAATGCCGTGGTGCCAGACCTTGTCTAACTTCAAGGGGAGGAGAGAGGATCAAGAACAGCAGTATCAGCCCAAGGCTGATGATTCCTATAAGGCAGAGGTCAGACATACCTCCTCTCTCCAACCTTTTTACCAGTTCTAACACCAGCTGTCCCTCCCACAGCACTCTCTACTTATTTGCTGGGTTCAATAATTCGTTGCAATGGCCACATAGAACTCACAAACCATACTCATGATTATGGGTTTACTGGGGAAGTAACAGTTTACAATTCAGGATCAGGATCAACTTGGAAGTTACAGGAATGACTCAGGATACAGTTCTTCGATTGGGATAATTTATACTCGGTCGTGCCAGCAGGCAGGCCTCTGTCTCGGCCCTTGGCCCTTGGCCCTCACTCTCGACCCTCAGTCCTCACTTCTCAGCCCTTGGCCCTGCTCCGGTAAATGTTACAAAGCTCTTACCTCCACTGACAAGTGCCTGGAGGCGCGCCACTTTGCCAGCAAGCCTCCGGCCCAAAGGCACGCCTGCTGTAGCCACCTCGCTTCATGGACTGGGAAGCCTATCGTGTCTTCTTGCACCAGTCTCCTGGTTCTACTGCTGCCGTTTCTCTGCCGCAGGACTCTGCTGTGCTTGTTGCCATTTCTTGCTGTCTCCAGTGTTACAGCTTTTTCTGTCTCCTGGGTCTAGGAGGTTCTCAGGGACCCAGGGACCCTGGGTCCAAAAGATGAGCTCCACTCCTGGCTCTTCTTCTTGAAGGTAGTGAGGTTCCCCTTCCAACCTCTGGGATTGGCTCCCTTTAAGCCTAATAGGATGGCAAAACGGACCAATCCCCTACACGGGCTCCATGCATCTTATTTGCGTGCTCTCCCCAAGGGTTCACTGCACCTTATTTGCATTAGCAAAACTGTCCAATCCCCTTGGTGGGCCACAAGCCCCTTATTTGCCTTGTCTTATCCAATCATTTCATGGATGTTACAAGACCATGGCTAGAAGGACCATATAATAGCAATTCATTGCACCACATTCATCCACCTCATATTGTTTGGTTTTTAAAAACATTTTATTGTATTTTTGGTGAAAATATATACTGTAAAACATGCTCCAATTTAACGATTTCTACATATAATGTTCAGTGACATTGGTTACAGTCTTCCAATTATGTCAATGTTCTCATTATTTCTGTTCTGGTTGTTTCACTCCCATTAACTTAGTCTCACCATTCCCCAAATTTCTCACCTATGCTTTAGAGTAACTGTTGTCCATTTGGTCTCATAGAGATGATTTTTTAAGAGTGCAATACCCAAGGGTGACATTCTTTTTCAGCTAACCTGGTGTTTAGTTAAAAGGTGACTTCAGGGCATAGTTTCACTTCAAGGTTTAAAGAGTATGTTAGGGCAAT